GGGGTTCGGGTGGTTCCGCAGTTACTATTATCAGTATAAGCAGAGTGATAACTATAGAAGTAGAGAGTAGAGGTATTTGACTCACCTGCAAACTTGTCCTTGGCTTCCACCAGGTGGCGGACTTGTTTTTGAACGATGCTCTGCCCCAGGACTCTGTTGCTTTGACATGTTTCCTGGATCTGGACTTGTCTTAGGGCCAGATGGGCTCCCACTTAGTCTATTTTGGTGGTCACGGTTGTCCTGGCCGGTAGGGAGTCTGGTCCGCTCCTGAGAAGAAATAGCCGAGCTATCACTTGGTTTCGAGGACATTGGTCGTGATGGCAGCGCCGTTCGCGCCGAGGCCGTCTCACGCTGATGGCTATACAGCGCCGATTCTTGTGTTTCTTGGCTCATGCCCGTAGGTAGGGCTGGCAGTATCGAGGGAAACAAGACGGCAATGGTTCAGATGAAGCGGACGGGTGTACTTCAATAGTTTGGGTTGGAATGCGACGGATCAGTTACAAACCGAAGTCTACAGCATTCATTGGCGGTATCGATGGCCGGTAGGTTGATTTGATTGTCGTATATGTCGAGGATGAGTAAGATTGAAATTTGGAAATGGGAAATGGGAAAGAAAGTCCTTCACACGACTCGTAATCGGCTGCAGCGGATTGATAAGTGGTTTCGAACCGGCCGAGCAAGGAGGCAAATCCGGAGAGAGGCCGGGGCCGGGTTCCGCAACTAAGAGTTCGTAGGCACCGAAGCGAGCCAAACAAATGGAATACTTTCTTGGCTCGATGTGAGGTGGAAGTCAGAATGCTTAAGAAGTACCTAGTGCAAAGCCCAATCTGCAGTCTAGCGATATGTATCGTCAGGTTGCCAGTGTTGCTGGTGGGCAGACGAGTCGAACAAGTCGCCAGGGTACAAAGGGACGTAGATGCGTAGGCAGCTGACCTAGGTACTAAGTAAACAGGACCAATCGAAGGATGGATCGCGTCCGATCGAACGGGAAGCCAGGTATTGGTCAGACGACAGGTGTCAGAGAGTGACGCGACAGCGACCAGATACTTGGGACCGGCGCAACTGCAAGGCCGAGAAAACCAAAGAAGAAGGTTGGGGAGTTGACAGCCGCGGGGAGGAGAGGAGAGGACAAGGATGTGCGGAGTGTGTAGTAAAAAAGACGAAGGGAATAACCAAGGACAGGAGATAACAAAGATTATCAACCAGACCAAAAAGGCGGAAGGTAAAGTACAGTAGACAGGTACTCCGTATGTGCAAGGGTGATGAATCTGTGACTACGCAATGACAGGTGTTGGTAAGACAACAAAAGGCGGCCGAAAGCGAAGTGCAGGACGGGGACGGGACACGCCTTGTCTCGTTCCTAGGCAAGGATATAATTGAATGTGGTGCTTGGCGAATAACAGGGGAGGACTTCGTCAATGGGTTGAGGCGTAAGACTCCCAAGTCTTGCGGCACCACCAGGCTGGGACGGTGGAAGGTGAATTGGTGACCAAGCAGAGCCAAGACCAAAGACCAGGGTGTAGGTTTGCGTGTGTGCACGCGCGCGTGAGATACCGTAGATCGATAACCAGCGAGGCAATGAGACGGCAGATGGCAGATGGCGGTGGAGGAAAGGACGGTGACCCCGGGAGAAGGGTATCCGAGACCAAGAGAGGACAAGGTGGGGGTTAAGGTCTTTCAAGGGAAAGGTTGAGGTCAAATGTGTGAGAGAGAGAGAACTCAGAGATGACCGTCGACACAGCAGATGGACGACCAATTCCGTCTGGTTTGAGATTGAGGCGCAGGTCAGATCAGAAAGAGAGGGCAGAGAAAGTTGGGCAGAGTAGAGGTAGGTAAGGTGATTGCGATTGATGATCAGACAAAGGCCTGATCTAAGGTATCCAATGGGGCTGGGGCTTAGTCTTGGAATTGGATCTGGGCTTGTGCTTTCTTGATTGCTCTGCTCTGCCTTGCCTTGCTTCTGCCTTGTCTTCTACCCTTCAGATTGTTTGGTATTAGTTATGGTGGATTGGAGACTGGTTGTCGGGTCTCGGGAGCTGGCGTTGCATTGCATGAGCCTAAATGGGGCCCAGCAGAGACTCGCTGACTCTTGTTCTCTCTATTCTCTCCTTCTTGTACCCCTCAGTTGCCGTCAAGTCTAATTCGTCCTTAGGTTGGAGGGGAGTGACGTGCAAAGGCAAAAACAAACCAGAAGCAAGACGAGACTCAACAGACACATGATGCGATTTCACGGGGAGTCGGCCCCAGCATGGAACGACGGCCGCTGGTGGGTTGGGGTTAAAACAACCGACTTGATCTAGACACTCTCATCTCGTTTCTAGTGTCTTTCTTAGCTCTTGAACCAAAGGTGCCGTTTCCGACTGCATGGATATCATTTGATGCTGAGTAGGCACGGTTCGTATTTTTCACGTGAGAGATCTATGCCTCACAAACCTGAACTCCCAAACTCTCCAGATCTCGTCACGCCAGAAAACCTGCAGAAAAGACCCTTCCCAACGTGTCGTCACAGTGGAGGAACCAAGCGAAAGGCCCTTAAATTAGGACGTTCTAGTAGGCCCCTCTTCCTCACCGCGGCTCTGTCAAAATTGTCATTTCGCCCCTGAGATGCGTTGGATTACATTGAGTCGCCTCTGATTGGTTCAGCTAATACGGAGAAATTCCTCTTCGCTCCTTGGCGCCGCTGGTCGGATTTTTGCGCAGGGGATCGCCGTCCTGGTGCCCTGACCGACTCAGATCCAACATACGCTAGGCCGAGATCGGGCCCTCTTTTTTGTTCTCTCCATTCGATTCTTATCAGCCGAGGCTTGAGTTCACTTTCTCGTTTTTATCTTATCTTATCTCGCCCATGCTCAAACGCAGGGTTACTTATCGATCAGAGGTCAGCTAGCTTGATTCCAAGAACGATCAGCATCAGTAGTTTGGTTGTCACGTCGCGTCGCATCGCATCGTCACTCGACATCAATTCTGCACTCTTATCTACTTCTGTGCAATATCGTCAACGCCTCGGTCGTTCACTTTGGTCATGACGTCCGAGCTTGGGAGCTCCCCTAAGAGAGAGCCGACACCCACTCTTCCTTTATCCTCGGTTCCTCAAAAGCGCCCCCTTGAAGAAGGCCGTCACAGTCCTGTCGTTCCCTCGCCACTGAACCCCGAAGTTCGGCCTTCCGACTCTTTGGCACCTGAAGATGCTGCTCAAAATTCTAGATCCAAGTCTGCGCGAGCAAAGAAGGATACTCTGAAGAAACGTGAGGCCAAGGGAAGCGATAGTGTTCGTGCGACACCTGATCCAAAACCAAAGTCGAAGCCACAGAAGAAACAGAGCGAGTCGAGCCCACTACGTTACAACTTGGGGCAGCCTAAACTGTCCAACTTCAACCCTCCGCGAGGTCCTGTCTTGACGGCACACCATGAGGTCACGACCCCTGATGGCCAAACGGTCGAATTCTTTGAAACTTCGGATCAGTAAGCCAAGACTGTATTTGGAAAATACCTTCAAGCTAACTACCAAAGTGTCTCTAATAAGAAGAGCTTCCGGTATACTCCCTGCATCGCCGATCCTCTCTTCCCGTCCATGATTTACTACCGAAGCACTGAACCAGAGCCATATGGTCCCCACTTGAGCTTCGAGGACTCAGCAGGGCATGTTTATTTTGATAAGTCGGCTCGTCACGTCACAACCGAAAAAGGGTTTCGCATGGCAAGGGCAAACGTGGCTGTGAGGGAGGGCAGATGGTACTGGGAGTGCAAAATCACACAAGGAGTTCGACCACCAAAAGATGGAGAATCCAAGCCGGAGGGAGGCAAGCATGTACGCGTGGGCTGGGCAAGACGAGAGGCATCGCTTGATGCGCCTGTGGGGTTCGATGCTTACAGCTATGGCCTCCGTGACGTTGCGGGCGAAAAGGTGCATATGTCCCGTCCTAAGGAGTTCTTTCCTGCAGGAGAAGGCATTCGGGAGGGGGATATCATCGGCCTCGAGATTCAACTTCCGTCAGAACAACTGCACCGCAAGGTCATGTCTGGACAGTATAATCCAGTTGTTGATCAGACCGACGAGGAACCTGCGGCCACCGCTGAAGGCCATAACATTGTCCGCGATCGCTATCCCATACGCTTCAAATCTCATACTTATTTCGAGAAGAGCGAGTACTCCCCCGCCAAAGAATTGGAAGATCTTATGAACCCGACAGGGGCTGGCGGTGGCTCTTCAGAAGAACCTAGTCCTAATCACCCTCTTCCAAGTCTTCGCACGCTTCCCAATTCCTGCATCCGCGTGTACAAGAATGGCGTTTTAATGGGTACTCCGTTCGAGAATCTCCTTGGCTTCCTCCCACCAGCTTCACGTCCTCAAGGTCAAGCTGGCGGTCGCGAAGGCCTTGACGACGGCATGCTCGGATATTACCCCGCCGTAAGTGTCTTCCATGGAGGCGCTGTGGAGGTAAATTTCGGTCCCGAGTTTTGGTATCCCCCTCCAGCCGAGACCGAAGATAGACCTGACAAGGTCTGGTCAGGCAACGCTCGCTTGAACAGGGTGCGCCCTGTGAGCCAACGTTATTCTGACCAAATTGCAGAGGACATTGTCTGGGACATCATTGATGAGGTGGACTTTTGGTCCAAAGATGGGGGTGGGGCTACAGATCGCCAAGGTGTGAGTGACAAGAGTGAAGCTGTCGCCATGGCCCCTGGGCGAGAAGAGATCAAGGAAGTGGTCCAAGACGATTGAAGCATCGCAAAATATGTTGTCTTCTTCTATCCAAAGGACGCTGGATAGCAGAACTACGAAAGCCTCTAGAAGATATGTTTCTTTCAACCTACAAAAGATACCCACTGTGAAAATGCAGAAATCAAGTTTATTATTCATACCATGTCCATCAATAGTAAAAGCTGGTATCGCACTGCCCGGAGGCTCCATTCTCATCTCGTCATAAAACATGTCGTGAATACTGCTCGTTACCACATATCAACCTGCTTACAAACATAAGTCCTATCCAGGCACCGTCTCAGCGACGACGAACCGGTTCCTCTGGCGAGACTGGCTCAACTACAGCAGGAATCGGGGATGGCTCAGACAAAGGGGAAACAGGATCTCCAAGTATTGCCCTGTCGGCATTGCGACTCGCCGCCGCCGCCTCTGGCCCCGGAAGAAGAGGATCATCTGGAAGCTCCTCGATACGATCGCTACCATCAATAGGTGTCTCAGCTACAGATTTCTCACGCTCCAGTCGCACCTCGCGGCCCCTCTTGTGACAATACCAAAGGACAAACATTAATACTATTCAGGGTTAGCAAATGTATAAACAGTTTGGGAAGCAATACGTACAGAATAAAGCAACGCTCCATATAACATTTGTTCCGATAAATGCAGGCCACCGCACCTTCAATGCGTTGACGATAGCCTTGAGCATACCAACAACAGCCCCTGGCTTTGTGACTAGATCGGTCAAATTCGATGGCTTGAGGAGGTCGATAGCGGCATCCTTAATGCCCTTTTCGGTATTCGCCTTAAGACCCTGACTTTCTGCAGCCGCCGCCAGGAGCTCAGGCGCCAGGGAGGACGTCAGCTTATCTGGAAGCTGGGTAACAAGCTTCTTGAGAGATGAAGGGAGTTTTTCGAAACCGCGATTGATGGCACCATCGCGGTCTTCAACTAGGCTTGCGAGGTCACCGTATGCTGTCGGCACACCGTTGGCGAGATCCTTGAATACTTGGGTGAAACGGGACAGGAGCTCGGATGACTCATTGGAAAGAGAAACTATCTTGTTGTTCTTTGCTTGGAGGTTCAGGCGGTCGAGAACGTTACCAAGGTCCTGCTCCTCACGTTCGGCTTCCGGTGGCGCGACGTTATCTTCTGGCTTAAGACCATCTTGTGGTTTCTTGTGTCTCGTGAACAAAGCCGTTAGGCGGTTTGGCTGTTTGTCGTGCTTCTCTTTCTCTTTCTCTCTCTCTCTCTCTTTGTCTTTGTCCTTCTTTTCCTTCTTCTTGTCCTTTTTACTCTTGGGTTCTTGTAAAGCCTTTACCGCCTCTATCTCACTCTCAGATGCAGACGAGAGGTCGATCTGAGGGGTATTGATGCGTGGCGGCAAAGGCGGAGCCGGACCATCGTCTTCCAGGATACTTTGCAGCCATGCCTCATCGTCACGATCGAGGACTGGGCTCAGGGGAGGAGTATTGGAGCTGAGGCTGTGCTGCGTGCTTCGCCGCTTTTGTTGAGGATCTGATGCACGAGATGCCTCGTTGCTGAAATCCGGTACATGTCCGTAGGATGGGTCTACCGAAGATCCAGCTTCAGTCTTCTTCGCAGCCTCCTCGGCAGCAGCCGCAGCCGCCTTCTCCGCTCTGTTCTTCTTGATCTTTTTGTATGTCAAGTATTCCAACATCTTCGAGTTTTGTTATATGTAATGGGGGGCGCCTTGTTCGGAGATTTGGTAGATGGGGATTCAGCTATTTAACTATCTTATTCTGGAACAAGAGGCCGCCCAGCTTCAAGGAAAACGAGGGATGGCGATTCAGGTGTTGGCGCGCGCTTGGAAGTTTGCCTTTGTCTTGTCTTGGGTGACGAACGATCTACGCGAATCGAGAGCGCACAGCCACATCACATGTGATGTCATGACGGCAGCCCAGCCAGAGTCCAGGGTCGGGGCCTAAGCTCCCCCACGTAAATATGTTTTAAGGCTACGTGATTTGATGATCGACAATCAACTGCCGTCCCATGATACGGCCGAAAATTATTGGTCAAATGGCTTCCAAAACATGGGTGGGTGGAGATCAGGGGCTCAAGTCGACTTCAGCTGCCATTAGTAGTAGATGAGGTCAACAGCCTAGGTAGGCGAAGGAATTGAACTTCCCAAGTGACGAGGGTTTTTAGGTTAATTACCTGTATACGCTTGGGGGGCTCGTTGATCAGTTCATTCTCGCATCTTTAGGGTTTTCTTCTTTGGGCAGCATAAGTAGGTACTTAGCAATGCCAATTCATGTTGATTGACCGTGGGTATCTTGAAATTCTATGGTTAATGATGAAGACATAAAAGTAGGTACAACGGCTTATACACCTCCATCAGGTGTCGTCAACATCCTCGTCTTCAGCCTCATCTGCCCCTCCTTCGTCACGGATAACCTCATCGGCAAGTGTGCTACTTTGCCAGCCGCTCCCATTCTTCCGCCGACCCCGTTGGAAAGCATCCGTCGAAGTGACCGCTCTCTCGCCTGTGAACTTATGACTTGACCACTCGGTGGAGCATCGTGGGCAGTTTCTGTCTCGCCTAGTTCGCCAGAAAGCCTCTTCGCATACCTCATGCAGTCGGAAGTTGCAATCCACATCTGCACATCTCAGACCAATCGTGACTGGATCCTTACATGCTTCACAAAACTTGATGCGCTGCCAGTCGCCTGGCTCAAGTTCCGGGTCGTTGTAGCTTTCGACTAGCCAGGGTCGTAATTCCAGCAACGCTCGGGGTGACAATGTATAGAACCCCTCGTTACTCTTCTCAAACCACCCTCCCTCAACCAAATTTGCAAGTACAGCTTCCACTTCACTATGCTTGAGTCCTTTGTCTACACTTGTTTGCGTCTGGGCTTCCACATCGATCTGGCTTTCTCTTCGGTTCGGCCGTGCCAGTTTGATGGCCTGCATCTCGGTAATAGCCATGACTTCCATGCGGGGGGTGTTGAACTTTTCAAACATAGCGTCTAGAACACGTTTAATGAACGAGATTTCTTCGTGGCTGTATATGGTAGCAAGTTGCGTCTGCGGATCAGACGTGGTATTGACCAAAGCCCATATTCGTCTCTTTGTAATTTGGTGGAAAGTACTTCGGATTTCGTAGTCAAAAAGTGATGCCGCTTCTGAAGCTTTGTCCATGGCCTCTTGAAAGTGTTCTTCGGTGATTTGATCTCTTCGTACTTCGTGTCCCTCCTCGTCTCCGCTGTGCCTGCGGTTGGCATTGAATATGGCAGCAAGGATAGGACGGGCTTCTTCGAAAGTAATCGTTCCTCGAGCTAAGATGGCCTGGAGAAATGCCCTATCCCCATGGTTGAATTCATGGTTACTCATGCTTGGTTTTGGCCTGACGACATTCGCGCTTGAGGCCAAGCACTATGGATTTATAATTTGTTCTCAAAAATCGATGAGGTGTGAATACTTGGAACGAAAGCCCCAGAAATGATTTTCTTGGAGGGGAAGAGACGACGCGTTTGACGCGTTCAGCGATCTCAAGGCTTAATTAAGTGCACGAGCCACGCATCTGTGGCTGTGGTGGCTCATTCAAGCATCCACATCAACCAGCTTGCTTTTCATATCACTTTGTAGGTGCCGCTCAGTTATCTTCTTTGTTTCATTCTGCTCGGGAGTGATTTGTAACTTACCAAATGTATGAGTATAATCCATGAAATTATAGCAATAACCAGCATGGAATTGGTGTCGAGGTTCGATGTGCATCTTGGGATATTCCTCGATTCGCACGTTAAAACACAGCCAGGACGCACAGAAGAACAATAAAGGCCAGTCTGATGGATATCAATAGAATACCTTAATATTGCATATCAAGCTATAACATAAATGACTACCAGGTGCCTTACAGCTTTCACTGCTACATAGCATTCCTTTGTTCATTCAGTTAGTGTAGGGTGGCCCGGTCATTATGCTGACTCAGCTCGTTTACCAATTGAAAGAACTCAAGAGCTTTGAGCTTCATATGAGTTATAGTAACCCTTTTTCGTGATCAAGGTACAGAGCGCGAAGACTGGGGCGTATCTTTCCAAAACATACGAATTATCAGTAACACTCAGCTAAGCGGATGAAAGATTGCGTGTCCAGGCGCATTGTTATTCCAACTCCTCCTCCCCGTGTGAAGCAATTCATCAGAGCGTACGGAGTACGATCATCAATTATCTACATCTCGACAACAAACACGCGAATTCAACAAATACCTAAAGACCCACCAGACCTGTAACGCCCCTCACTCGCCAAGGGGCAGAAACAACGCGTCTACGTGCGCCATCATAGTTTCCTGGAGGAGGGCCCTGAACCTGGAAGACATCGAGCAAGTGCCAGACGCAAATAGGCTCTTGGTCTAAGAATGGCAATGAACACGTCGGAATTGAAAGAATTCGATGTTGTACGAGTGGCAAGAAGCGATGGATCAGACACCGGGCCCGGATACTGGCCAGTCACAGCACCATCCACCACGATTGCCACTAAGAAGACAAAGGATGCGTCTGCGGCTGAGAAAGCTCCAAGGACTAAACCTCAGATGATTCGATTAGCCGAAGACGACCCAAGATTCACAGAGTGGAAAGTCAAACTCGGGATTCTTCTGAAGCAAGAGCTATGTCCAAACCCCGATGGTAAGTTGGCTCCTCTGCCTCATCCTTCTGAGATATCTAACCATATGAAGAGGGGAATCCGTGGCTAGTTGACTTCCCGCGAGGTTACTGGCTATACGAGAAATCTAAACATCTTTGGGTTTCGGGGTATCCTATCAAGGTGAAGCTTTTTAAGAGCCCGCAGGAATTTGCAGTGCACCTGATATGGTTGCTCTCAACATCGATGGACTACCGAGACTGTTGCTGTGCGCACTGCAATGGTTTCAACTCAATGAAAGGGGGCATGGGTGCTGACGACGCGTTGATCATCACGCATGAGCCTATCAAAGCCGATAAGATCCCGCCCAAGGTCACGCCTGTTCCACTCCCTCCAATGCCTGGACAGGCACCTCAGAAGCCGAACCAAGTTACACCACGATCGCAGTCAACACAGTCTACCCCAGCTACTACAGCACAAAACTCACCAGCACCGACGCCGGTCCCTGCAACTTCAGCCCCCATACAACAGCACATTCAACACCGACCCCCGGTTCAACCACAGGAGCAGGCGCTCCAACCCCAGCCTCAGTCTCAACCCCAAAATCAGCCACTACTTCAGCAGCAGCCACCTCAAATTCAACAACCCCAGCCTCAAGCACAGCAGCAGGTTCAACAGCAGGTTCAACAGCAGGTTCAACAGCAAGTTCCACCTCTTGCTCAAGCACAGCCCCCATCGGTTCAGTGGTCATTGAAGTCACCTGTGTTGTTCAGGTCAGGAGAGCTGGTCTGGTATCTGAACGGCAATGCATGGCGCCTCGGAGTCATTGCTTCATCCACTGCGAGTCATCATGAGGTTATGCCCATCGGTCATGGCATCGTCCAACAAAACAATGTGAACAAAACAGAGGGAGAAATGCGACCCTTTTATGCCTTCACCGTACCACCTGTCAACCTCCCCGAATTGAAGGACAAGGAATACGATGGTGTTTCATGGGAGGGTCTCTTCCAAAGTACAGCAGACGGGAACCGTCGAGAGATGATTGCACTCGACGCTTCTAAGATGGCAGCTGTGAAGATTGACTACTCATACTCCCTATGGTCCAAAATGTCCGAAGAGTCGAACTTGAAGAGAGTTGCGTACTGGGGTTGCTTTTTTGGGGCTGAGCGCATCGAAATTGGCGACGCGATGCGGCTCAGATCAATCCCGGCTGAGTTGAACGTCCCGGCCGAGACGTGCGTCCTGGGTCTCCGTCGCATCTTCACCACCTCGGACTTCCCTGGCGCCGTCTTTTTCGTCGGCCATATCTACCAGCTCGTATCTGAAGACCAGCCAAACATTGTCCGGGATGAACACCTTCCCGTTGCGTTACGCCATGAGAGCCAGTGGCGCCATTCGGTCGGGGCACAGCGCTGGCGCTACGCACTGATCAAAGAGAACGTCGTGTTCAAGGAACAGTCGATTAGAGGTCGATTTTACCCAACGCACCGTCTCATGCCCATCCTCAACCCGAACGAATTCCAAAACTCAATTATTCAGCGTAGAGTGGATGAACAGCATGCCCATCTCAACAACCGAATGGATGGTGTGGGTAGGTATCTTGGTCGAAAGATCAACCGGCTTGACACCCTTGGTGCTTCGGTGACCCATACAGCTAGGATCAGTCTTGAGCCGTTCATCAAGGAAGGAGACCAGCCTCTGGAGTGAGGGATGTTAGAGACACTCTGCCCATATACGGTGTGGCATCACATGTGCCGAGGGAGCGGACAACACGGAGTGATCGTGAAGTTGTTAGATAGTATTTCGATCATTTAATAGAGGCATGCAAGGGTACCGGAACCATCATAGCACTTCCAGTAACATCTCAGGCATATTCTAGAACCACTGCCCAAGACAGCCCCCGGAAGAACCCCCCGTCATCCCCTGTCTCTAGCTCTCCCGTAACGCCCATACGCCTCACGCTCACTTTCTTGTCCTCCCGATGAGCCGAACGCACCTGTTTCTCCTCACGGTGTCAGCGCCACCACTATGCAGCGCCTGCAGCGCCTGTGCGATACACACCGCTACACAGAAAGCACCAGACCATGGCACAACTATTGCATCTTGCCCAACACAAGCACCACTTACGTATACTGCAAGTATTACAACACCTGCATAGAGCATGGTGGGCTGGATGAATCATGGACACTGCGGGGGCAGGGACATCACGTATGTGTGATGGCGATGTTGAGGCAAGACTCACGTGTTTCCTGCATCGCTGGGGTTCTTGGTTGAACTAGGTGAGGATAATGGCATGGATATGATGCCACATCCTGATCAGAGCGAATGAGAGGGGATGGGACACATGGAACCGCTATCACTTGTCTTCGTCAAAAGGTCAATTTGGCGTTAGGTATGAAGGATTGACGTCTTTCTCATTGATGTAGAGCGTAGGCATGGCTCGTCAACAGAATTGTGTTTACTGAGAGAATGAAAAAAAAAACACCGCTTCTTCGCTTTCGCCAAATACATTGACAATGTGTGGCACACTCGCTGTGGTATCCATCCTCCAAATGTCACGGCCCGCAAGGTATGTGCGAATTTTGTTTGTCAAGACACAAACCACCCCCTTTTCCAACACCTCTCGACACATCAACCCGTATATCCCCCGTCTCCTCTACATCATCTGGCTCTCCTGAATCATAACTCCTCTGTTCGTAAATGCCTATAAATGACTGATGGCTGGTATGAAAAATCACGGAGGTACGCTTGAATGGAATGATCGGGAACGGGATGTTGTATGCGCCGGCTAATATGAATTGCCGTCTCTATGTCGTGAAAAACAAATAGGCTTCGTGTCGAATACTCTTTTGAACCAATGATCCAGGGTGGATGAACCGTGCAACGCGTGGCCAAGTAGAAGGAAAATGAACTGCGGATAGGGGGTCGATAATCATCGAATTTTCGACTCATGATATGAGATAGTTGATGTGCTCTCCGCCCGTCGTCCTTCACTCTCGCAGCTCGAATATCGTCGTCGTGTGTGGTTGTGTAAAATGATAAATGAAATAGCCATCCTCTCTTCGTCCCCGACTCCCGAGCTCGATAGTCTCATGGTGTATGCAAGTTATGCCACTTTTAGATTCTCAAGTCGCTCCTGCAGCCTCTTCAATATCTCCGGGTCTGGTTCGGGTTCGACTTTGCGGGGTTTGACGCGGGGCGAGTCCTCTGTTTTCTCCGAACCACATTTTGTGCATTTGGTTCCATTTTCAGCACCGGTTGGGAATATCGTCTTGCACTCCTTACACTCATAGTGTGGCACACTGCTTGGTCCGAATTCATCTCCAGGATAACCATATGGATACTTCTCTTTCTTGGGACTGTTATCTGGTTAGCCAAGACTTTGATAGGTACTGTAAGGTGAACGTACGGATCTCGAGGACAATCAGTGCAGCGAACGTGGCCACACTTCTCACAGGTTTTATTACCAGAGATAAACAGAGTCGAACACTCATGACAGGTCCTTCGCACGCGTTGACGAGGCTTCTTGTGGACCAAGTCCTGGCCACCTGTCTTGCTAGGGCGAGTAAGGACGATCTTCTTCTCGTCAAAGGCGTAAGAGTAATCGGGAATAATGGGGGCGTTCTCCTTGTTGGCCTTGATGATAGCGGCACGTCGCTCACGGCTGGCGATAATCTCGGCTTCGCTTCGTTTGGGAGGGTAACGGGTGCACTTGGTGCAGCGGGCATGCTGGCAGTTGGGACACTCCTTGGCAGAAGAAAAGGTGGAGTTGCACTTGTGGCAGGTTCGTCGTACGCGCATACGGATGGGCTTGTCAATGCGGAGAACAGTGTCGTCGGGCGATCTGGTCTGAAGTTCGGAAACGTTGATATCGAGTCCATAGCGCTCACCAAGCTTCTTAGCACGCTCTTCGATCAATTGGCTCCTGGTGAGTTTGGAGACGCCCTCCAAGCCTTCATATTTAGCCTTGGCTTCCAATTTCTTGTTCTCGGGAGCAGGAGGTTGACTGCAGGCTCGTTAGTTACTGAATGCACGGGAACTGGTCCAGTCAAGGAAAAGCAACAGTCCATCGAGACGTTTCCATCCGAGGAAAGTTCACCAGGGGAAACCGTACCTCGTCTGAGGAGTCTCCTCAGCCTTGGCTGGAGGGGCAGGGTTGGTGGTCGAGAGCGTCGACTGACGCTTAGAAGCAGATGAGGAGCCCTCTCGCTTGAGGAAAGTTTTGGTGCGATTAAGAAGCTTGCTGAATCCCTTCTCTTTCTTCTCCTCTCTACGGGACGAGGGCCCGGCCTGAGAAGGAGAACTCATGTTGGATAGTTTGTGATAGCAGAGTTTGGGAGTTCTTTAATGGTTGTTGCTTTAAGTGACTGAAATAATTTTGAGTGAGATTTGAGATGAGATAATTTTATCGTCCCCTCTATACAGTTGTCTATATTGTGAGGCGAATATGCTGAGTAAAAATTGGATAACAGGGTTTGCTATGAGTCGTGAGGTAGTCCAGGAGAGACGATGGTGTTTGAGCAATCGGCGGGACCGAAAGTAGTGGCGCTCAAGGGACGACAATGTATCCTCGGATAGATAGCGACAGTCCCCGTTAAAGAGACGTCGAACTAATTAGGTAGTCAGGACAGACCAATTCGTATGTCGAGCTGAGTGAGGGTCAAGAGTTTATCAGCCTCTCCTGACGCAGTGGATCTGCGATGATGACCAAGGCGGTGCGATACGGGAATGGTTGGATCAAAGCTATTGACTCTGTGAGAAGGAGAGGGGGGAGGAGGGAGAGAGAGGACTGAGTAGAGTTGAGTAGAAAGTTGGTCGAAGGATGATGAGCGAGGGCAGGCGAACTATACTTAGTCTGGCGGTTGCTAAACCTCGTGGATGGCGCTACACTCAACTCTACAGTGCACATCGAGCCAGCCTGGTGGTATTAGTGGACCCAGTCTAGCGGCCCGGCGCTACAAAACAATGCTAATGCTGCAGAGGGCAGAGACAGCGAATGGAAGGCCTGCCCAGTGCAACAAGGGTGAAAGAAGGGCAGCCAACCCAATTAGGAATTCGTACGAGTTCGTTGCATCCATGGAACATGGAACATGGAACCAGGAACCCCAGCACGGGAAGAAGGGCCTGTGGGGGACGACAACGATACCATGGAAGGGGTGAAAGTTGTGAGTGGTGGTATGTACATATGTACGTATGTATGTCTGTAGACCAGTGTAGTATGTCCAGTATTTGTTCGTGATCCTTCCGACAAAAGACACTGACAGTCAGTCCCGACACGGCGGATGGGGAGGGACGTGAGCAGTCGGCCGCTGGCAACCGGGAGGCCTAGGCCTTAGTTCAAGGACGGACCTTGGAGGCTTGACCTCTTCAGGAGACAATCCAAGACACGACAGGACATGCCACTGGCCACGCATCACTACAGTACATACACCGCAGTAGCTCGAATTCTGGGGACGGGAAGGGAAAGGTGCCATGCTATGCGCTGCAATGCGCAACAGGTCAGGTCCTTTTGCTCTACCTTCTGGGAGAGGCTCATGCTCTGCCGTCAGAGGCAAAGATTGTGGTGTGAACGATGGATACTCACAGGGGATCTAACCTGAATCACACCCCTGCGGGTACATGATCCAGCACAGTAAGCACAGTATTGCTCCTCCAAACGAGGTCCAACCTCCGTGGTATTTCCCTCTTCCAGCTGGTCGGTTCACTGAAATTGTGGCCCAGTGGTTCACAGCCAGCTTCTGGCCTATGCCATGGCCTCTGATGCGGCCAGCTGGAGCGGCCAGGTGGTGGCAAGACTGCGGCACTGTGAACTGTGGTAGCATTTCAGCGGTCACCAGCTGCCACGTTGAGAGCCTGAATTTGTTGGCCCGGTTGTCAACCTGCCAGTCAAACGTTGTCGATTGCGTTGCGTTGCACGAGGCGGTGCGATGCCCCATACACACATCAGCAAAGCTGGAATGGATTATCATCATCATCAGGCAATTGCTGCAACATTTAAAGTCGCAGACAGGATAGCTGCTTTCGCCCACGTTATTTCCACGCGCCCCGTTCCTCACGTCTTGACCTCATGAGTTTGGTGGCGGCTGCGCTATAATCTAATCCAGCCGTGAGCCAGGAAAGACCATCTGATGATACTATTGTCAACACGGCACTTGGTCCATGATGCAGCCGTCTGTGAAACGTAAGCCATGACCTGGGCCTTGAGTTTAAGCCTCATGCACATGAAGCGTGTCACAGCATTCCTGTGTAAGGGCGCACACACATGAAAACCGTTTATCCATGGGACATCCGCGAACCTGGTTGTAGAATGCCTTGATACCCAACAAAGAGGGGATTTATGGTTCCAGAGACAGCAGTCTCACATTTCAGTGGTGAATATCGGAGGTTGAAGGTATTATCGCCCTTCCAATGGTAGCAGAAACAGAAACACGACTGCTACAAGATTCATGAACCCAAGACTAGGTATGCACTAGAGAGTCATGGAGCCATAAACGTGCATGATTGGCCAGCACCCCATGTCCGGAGCAGTCCCGAATAGCAGGAACCCAGGTTGCACTGTCCAAAAGTCCATCTCCGACAATTTACCGTTCCTTGAATTTGGTAGTGGAACACTAGCGGGACCAAAACCCACCAAAACCTCCAGGGCTCAGGGTAACCCCAGGGCAGTCAGATCATCCATCAATTCAACACACCCCGCCCTGGCTTGA